TCACTAGCAGGCATGCTGTAAGACATCTGCTGTTGCTTTGGAAACTGAGATGCTTAGTAGGAATAGAACAAACAGGGTATTAGGTGTAGCAGTTGAAAAGAAGTGATATGTGGAAGGCTTAAACATATCAATGTTGCTTCAGATTGCATCCTCCCAGCATCACATTGCAAAAGAGGTGAGCCTACTTGTTGACTTGAGCTTGTATGGAAGTCTCTCTGAATGAGTGTCTTTTAGAGGGAAAGTGACTTTCATTTATGAATGCACTGGAAAAGATAGCTAAGTAACTCACTTAGTTCTCAAAATCAGTATGCCCACATCCCATCTTGCCAAGATCCACTGTTTCTTGGTGCCTCTCAGAAATATTATTTTTGAAAATTTGTTCATCATTTCTTCATGACTTTCATTATCATCAATTGCAGTAGAGCTAGGCACCAGATCCCCAAGCCCCAAATCATCATCAACGCTCTCACTCTCACTTGTACTGCTTGAGAGGAGACTGAATGAACCCATTCTGTTGAACCTATTCTGCCATTTACTGACATAAGGAACAAACAAACATGAGTCAACTCACAGAACAACTCCTATGCTAATACTTCATAAGGCACAGTTGCTTCATAAGGCAACAGTGAACCAGGAAAAGAGGGGAATTATTGTAGGTGGGATTGCGGCCAAGTTAATACTTGTAAGGATCCTGAGCACCAGCTTGTAGCATGGGGGATTCTGTTCATGTAGGCTTAAATCAAATTATTAGTACTATCTATCTTTTTTTATATCTAGAATCAGTTGCTTTTAATGCATCTGTTCTAGTTGAGATGAACGATTAGATTTAGGCCATGGTGGGGGAATTTGATTTTTTAAAACTCTTATCTGCATTTCTGGGGAAAGGAGTAATACAATAGTACTCTACCAGTGGAATATACTCTTCTCTATTATTTCTTATTTTAAAATTATAGAGGAAGACAATGGCAAACCATCTCTGAGTATTCATCAGGTCACCATAAATTGACAGCTGACTTGAAGGCTCATATGCAGGCACATATGCACACAGTTGTCTGCAAGGAGCTCAAGGCACTATATGTGGCTCTCCTCCCCATTTTTAACTTCAGTAACAGCACTAGTCCTGCAAGGTAGGTTGAGCTGATGAGGATGGGTCCAAAGTAACCCAGTAACTCATTGCTGAGTGTGGACTAAAGCCCTCATCTCAAGTCTGCCAAATTGGGACAATTGGAGGGTATGTTGTTACCATTGGCTAACTTGAGCAACCCAGCTAGAAAGGCAGTATATAAAATATAAAATTTCATTTGGAATATGTTAATCATTTTTTTAAAAATGTCTCTTGCAGAGCATTTGTGCAAGGGGGAAAATGTGTATATATATCCTATTAAGTGGTAGCAAAGAAAAGCTAAAACAAAATCACTTGAAAGTTGGATATAGGCATAACTTGGGCCAAAACACACTGCAGAAATAATCCAGTTTGAGATGGCTTTAATTGCCTTTATGCAGTGCTAGGGAATTCTGGGAACTAGTTTTGTGAAACACTTAGCCTTTTCTGTCAGAGAGCTCTGATGCCACAGTAAACTACAATACCCAGGTTCCCTAGCACTGAGCCAGGGTAGTTAAAGCAGTCTCAAACTGGATTATTTCTGCATTGTGTTTTGGACCTCAGCTAACCTCCTTTTTTTACAAAGAACCTCCTTTTTACAAAGCTTTTTACACCCCCTTCTGCCTCCCTTCCTAGGTGTCTAGGTGTTCACTTTTTTTAAGCAGCATTCACATTGAAAAGGTACTGAAGGAATGCTGGAGAAACAAGGTTTTGGTGTCAGTGTGTCTGCAATAAACAATACTATACACAAAGCTTGAGTGGAGAAGAGTGGGATTCTTGTCTAGCCAATTCTAAAGTGACTGTGAGTGCCTGACTGCAAGCAAAGTAAACATCAGCTGCCTCTAGAATCACATACTGAACATGTGTGAAAGCAAAACATAGAGAACAGATAAGCCTGTTTCACCAAGTACTCCCAGCATGTTAAAAAAACATAGGCCTATAAGTCTGGCCACCAAAATGGAAATCATAAGAGAGGTGGAGGCTGGCGAATGAAAAGTCATCCCTGGATGTATTTTGGAAGAAGCCTATATGCAGTCTTCAGGGGATTCAACATGTTTTTGTTTACTTATGCAAGTTTCACACGTGCATATTGCTAATTTTGTTGTTTTGATTCACACGTGCATATTGCTAATTTTGATTACTATGTATATTCACGTATAAGCTTACCTCAACCTTCAACCTCAGTTGAAGGCAGATTTGAGGGCCAAATTAATGGATTTTGATATGACCTGTGGGTCAAGGTTAAAACTTGGGGGCATGTAACAAAGGATGTAGAGGATGAAGCAAAGGAAAACTATGCCAAAGAATTTGCAAAAATCTGGCAGGCATAAAGGCTTGATGGATGAGGAGGGAACTACGTAAATAGTGACTATGCAATGTTTGGGGGAGATGACCACATGCGGGTACAGCTAAGAAAAGGAGCACATGTCAAAAAGGGAAGTCATGGCAAGAGTTATGGTACAGTATTAATTCTAATCAAAAAAGGAACCATCACCAACTTTGTTGTTAAATATGTTGGCTGGAGTTCTGTTGGTGTGTCCCAACCAGAGTAGACCCATTGAAACAATTGTTGAATGGCAAGTCAACACATAGGCCCGAAACAGACAGGCTGGAAAATTTGGCTTCTGGCCACATTTGGGACATAGCGTTTAGATGGCTCACACCCCAAACACAAGGGGAAACCGCATCGGACCTGTGTTTTCCCCAAAGAACAGGGCCAAAAAGGAGTGGTAAAATACCACTCTTTTTGCTGGCCTGGTTCAAAACCGCAGCAGCGGCCTGGATCAGGGCTGGGGGCATACCATTACTGTGGCCCCGGTGCAAATTGTACTGGCCTGGCCACAGACCACATTTTTCGGCCTGTCTGTTTTAAGCCATAGTTAACCTGATTCACTTGGTCTGCTCTAGTCAGGACTAACAATAGGAGTCAGGCTGTAATGCCCAGGAATATTTCTACTTTGTTAACTGAGATGTCCTTTTATTTTGTTTAGCCAAGTTTCTTTCTATCTTGTTTTGGGGTGGTGGGGAGTGGAGAGGGTGAGGGGGTAATGTTTACTGTGCCCTGGCCCTACATGACTAACTCATTGCAGTGACGCACTGGAGGAAATTGCTGTAGCTTCAAAAGGATGGTGACCGAGTAGTTCGAGATGATGATGATATTAAGTCTGACATTGCAAAGGAGACTAGGTTAGGCAGAAGATGAGTCATCCATACAGATCATCTTATCACAATCAGCAGTAAACTGTTGCTCTGCCCCAGATGGTATGCTGGGGAGGAAGATGAGGCGAGTTGCTCTTTCATGTTTTTGTTAACTTCTTAGGACTGTCTTGTCTGTAACCGTTCAGGGTATTTTGGCTGTTTAGTTCCGGCTGTGTTGCAACTGGCAGATCAAATGTTGAGAGGATAATGTAACTTGGCACCCTTTTCAAAGTTTTAGTTTTTTTAAAAGTAAAACTGTTTTTCTTTCCTTCGTCACCTTTACATAAGCAGATGCATTTGGAACACAAACCAAGAGCAGCAAACTTCTTTAATTGCTTAATTAGGCTAAGTACATTTTTTAAATAGCGTGGTCCCAGAATACTTCTATTCTGAAGTAAGTCTGATTGAATTTAACCAGCTTCATGTTTAATATTTAACAGTACAATCTTATCCATGTCTACTCAAATGGAAGTTCAGTGAAGGTTTCTTCTAGGTAAATAGCTACAGGGTTGCATACTAAATTTTGTTTAGTGTTTAGAGCAGGGGTAGGCAACCTTTCCCCTTTAAGGGCCGAGGGACTTCAGCTCCCAGAAGCCTCAGCCATGTTGGCCAATCGTCCCATGTTGGCCAATAGCTCCTGGGATTCTGGGAGCTGAAGTCCCTCGGCCCTTAAAGGGGAAAGGTTGCCTACCCCTGGTTTAGAGCCTTTGTTAATAAAGTTGGCCCTTTGTATCTGTGGGAGTTCCATTCTGGACTCCCCTGTGGATGACAAAAAGCATGGGACCTCAAGTCCCGTTCTTCCCAATGGCAATGGACGTGTGCACCACTGCATTGGCATGGCTATGTGCATATGTCACCATTGGGATGCTCCAGTCAGCAGATGGCAAGCCCATGGTTGGGGAGGGCTGATTGTACCAATAAAATCTGTGTTTTTTAATTGGATGCTTGCTTTCTTGGTGCAGTGGCTCAAGAGGTTAAGACGCTGACTCTGTTGCAGTTCGAGGCCCGGGTGCTGCATAATGGGGGTGAGCTCTTGTCACTAGTCCAAGCTCTGCCATCCTAGTAGTTCGAAAGCATGCAAATGCAAGTAGATAAATAGGTACTGCTTCTCAATGGGAAAGTAAACAGCATTCTGTGAAATCATGCTGGCCACATGATCACAGAGTAGCCTCTGACAACGCTGGCTCTTTTCCTTATTAATGGAGATGAGCACCGCACCCAATGGTCAGACACGCCTTGGCAACCTTGTCAATGGAGAATACCTTTACCTTTTACCTTTCTTGATGCTACTGCACTCATTCATTTGCTAGTCCCAACTAGGGTAGATGCAGTGAATCAGTAGATCTATATAAGTGTTGATTTATCATTTAACAATTGCTTTGGTGGGTCTACTTTAGTTCAAAAATAGCTGTGTGATAGAAGCCACTATCTAAGTTTATTTATTTTTAGTGAGAATAATAATTCTTCCTATATGTTTATCTCCATAAATAAAAAGACTGCAGATGCATTTTATATGTCTATCTCTGTATCTATGTCTATAAAGAGAACAAAGGAAGAAGGAAATGGAATGTCCTTTACCCAGTGAGTGCCAGGAGCAAGGCATTGGGTGTATGGGCTCCCATTTTGTGGTTGATATTTCCAGTTGAGATTAGCATGTGCCTACTCTACCTTGTTTTTTCCATACCTATGGTACTGGGGAGCCAGCATGGCATAGTGGTTTGTGTGTTGGACTGCAACTCTAGAGACCAGGATTCAATTCCCAGCTCGGCCATGAAACCCACTGGGCGACCTTGGGCAAGTCACAGTCTTTCAGCCTCAGAGGATGGCAATGGCAATCCCCCTCTGAAGAAACTTGCCAAGAAAACCCTATGATAGGTTTGCCTTAGGGTTTCCATAAGTCAGAAACGACTTGAAGGCACAACAGCATGGCACTGGGAGGGCAAGGGAATTTGTGTTGAGTAGTTTCATGGGCACAGCTTTCTTTAAACAGAGATCCCTGCCTTCTAAAGGAACTTAGAGCCGACCTAGACATTCATTTATAGGAGAAGTATGTGACATACAGAGGTAGAACTGTCAGGAAGCAGCTATGGGTTTGGAGCTACAAAATCAGTTCTGAGCTCTTTCCTTGGTAAGTGTTGATAAGGCACATGAACAGGGGCAGCAGTCTCAGTTCTCATAAAGCTAGAAGTGACTCCTGTCAACTCCCAAAGGAAGAATATGCATGTGGTGTTGGTAGGCAACACCCTGTTGAGAGGCAGTGGTGTGTGAACCTGACATGAATTCTTGAGAGAAGAGTTCCAGGGGCAAAGATTCATGATGTAACGGAGAGGCTGACAAGACTCATCAAGCCCATTGACTTTTATCCCCTCCTTCTGATCTATGTGGGAACAAAGGATAATGCAAGAGACTTCAACATACTACGAGTGACTATGGGGTTCTAGGTAGGAAGCTGAAGGACCTCTGGGACAAGGTTGTTACTTCATTGCACCTTCCTGTTGGACATGATCCAGGAAGAGAAAGAAGAATACTGGAAGTAAAGTATTGTTCAAGGCATTTAATAGCTTACATATGAGAGCAAGCATTGTGTAGTGGTTTGAGCGTTGGATGACAAGTCTGAAGACCAGGGTTCGATTCCCAGCTCAGCCACGAAACCCACTGGGTGACCATGGACAAGTCACATGCTCTCAGCCTTAGGGAAGGCAATGACAAACTTCCTCTGAAGAAATCTTGCCAAGAAAATCTTGCAATAGGGTCACCATAAGTCAGAAATTACTTGAAGGCACACGTTCCCCTCTCACCCTGGTGAAGCAGACATTTGGAAAAGCAGCCATTGAAACATTATTTGTGAAACTCGCACATTCATAGGCCTGATCCACTTGTTGATCCCAACTGTTTCCCCCCGTTGAATCATTGGGATTTATAAATGTTGACTTACCTTTTAACCTATGAAGTCAGTGGGTTTAGCAAATAACAGTTGGCTTTAGGTTAAAGGCTTTAGGTTATACCTAACCTATTCCTCATATTAGGTAGCTGTGTGGGGTACAGTTTGCAAAGATAGCTCTTTTGAGTCTTATACCATACTCAAGTTTTATACTTGTTTTATACTTTGCATATATTGTTTATATATAAACAAGTTTTGTACTTGTTTGTATACAAGAAAGGGGAGGAAAGAAAGATATATACATGAACTTGGTAAATTTCCGTGTTGCCTTTACATAGACTAATGGAGAAAGGTGGGATTTACTAGTTTTGTACCTATGTTGTATGGGGAAGTGGAAATAATGTCAGTGATGAGGAAGCAATGGTGCTAAGTTTTATTAGGTGGGGAGTGTCAACACATAGAAGTAACAGGACACTGGTTGTGTGAAAAATCTGTGCTTACTGGCTGTGTTAATAGGAATCTTTTTTATAGCAGAATGAACAGGTCAAGTTTTAGCTGTACCTATAACTCTTACAAGTGTGGATGCCCAGAAATCATCTAATGATTCTAGGATTCTTTTCAGATTTGCCTCTCAGTTCTAGGGCACACCTCTTTCCTGGGAAATTGCTGTTCACCTATGTGTAGGAAATTATTTTATTTATATCCCTCTTTTTTCCAAAGTTGGAACTCAAAGTTGCTTACTATTTAAATAAAATACAAAAAAAATACAAAAGTGAACATTAAAATAGAATTAAATTGATACAGTATTAAAGCACATTACTAATTAAAAGGATAAAATGCAGGTAAAAAGATAAAAGCACTTAAAAACAATACAATTTAAGCAGTACTAAATCCCCAGCTCATTCTTTAAGGGCTTTCCGTTTTAAAAGCCTGTCTGAATAAAAATGACTTAGCTTGCCAACGGATATATACTTGTATACTAAATATACCTGTATATCAAATATATCTGTAAATCTTCTCTCTCTGTCTGGAAAACTTTAAATTGTCTAAACTGTGTTAATTTATCTTTTGCATATTTACATACACACATTATTCTTACTGCAGATTCATGAAGGGTATATACAACACAAATCTGGTGCTCTGAATACTACAGGAACCCCTGGCCTCTCAGAGATAAGTTCCATTGATCTGCGACTATATATGTTGTACTCCCTTCCATTTATAATCCTCTTGGTCTTCGTCCGTGACCTGAAGAGTCTGTCTGTGCTCTCCTTCCTTGCAAATCTGTCCATGGCTGTCAGCCTTGTGATTATTTATCAATATATAATTCAGGTGAGTAAAGGATTGGTTCTTTGCTAATGTTTTCCCCTAGCAGTGCCATATTATATAGGTGTGGTTTGTCTTCATTTTAGCATGCATTTTAGCATTTGGTTTTAGCTGTGCATGTGTGAGTCAAAGGTTGGAAAAGTTTCATTGTTTGGACTACACCTCCCATAGGCAACATGGCCTTGGTTGTGTTGACTATGGACTTAAGAAAGTTGTAGCCACCCCAAGCAATTTTTCTTGGCTGTTGTGAGAGTATATATCAGTGGTAGCTGAAGATTTTTGAACTTAGCTGTCACCTTTCCTTGTGCATTGGTTACACTGAATGTTCAAGATGGAGGTAATTGACAACAACAAGGGAGAGCTTACAACTCTGCATGATACATCTGGTGAATAGCCAAATGACCTTTAGCTGATTTGTCCAAATTATCTCATATCTTGTCTAAAGGTCATGGTGATTCACTGGTCTAACTCCATAACTTTGGAGATTTATCATGCAGGATACTTACTTTTTCTCTTGTGCATTTTTTAAAAAGGTGCAGTGTTTGCTAAATTTAGGGTAACTTAATTGGGTCATAGGATTGCCTGCTTCACGTCTACTGACCTCTCACAAACCTATTAGAAATAAATATATCTGGACAAGCACATTGGCCACATGAAAAGATATCACAACATCTATATACAGTGTGGGAGGACATGGGAGGAGACCTTTTTGGTTGTGGTTTCCTTGGTGTGGAATGCCTTCCCTTTAGAGGCCTGATTGACATCAACACTGGTGTCATTCTGGAACCAAGTTAAAACATGGCTTTTTATTAAAGCCTTCTGGGCCTAATTGATTTCATCCAAATCAATGGACTCTTCCCATTCACTGTTTGGGGGTAGTTATGGTTATGAGGGCCTTTGTGGATAGCAAAAACGTGAATGGTCATGGTCCATATTATTCAATGGCGGTGATGTGCAAATGGATATGTTAGTGCATCTGCAGACATGTACTGCCATTGAATAATATGGGGCATGGCAATCTATGGCCGGTCAAAGCCATGGATTGCCAGCCTGTTATTACAGAAAGTCTATTGTACTTTATGGTTCTAAATTGTTTTAAATTGTTTTAGCTGATTTCATTTTTCTTATCTTAACTCATCAAAGTGTTTAATGTAGTTTGGTCAATTTAGATTATCTCTTTTGTATTTGTTTAAGTTGGTTAATCTGATTTTATTGTGTATGATCCTGAGTTCTTTAAGTGTAAATAAATAAATAAATAAATAAATACAGTCGTCTCTCTATCCACAGATTCCTCCTCCATAGATTCAGCCATCTTTAGCTTAAAAATAGTTTCATATATATATATATATATATATATATATATATATATATATATATATATATACACATACATACACACATTGCTAAAAGCGAACCTTGATTTTGCCGTTTATGTAAGAGGCACTGTTTCACTATGCCATTGTATTTAATGGGATTTGAGCATCCTTGGATTTTGGTATCCATGGGGGTCCTGGAACCAAAACCCCAGCGCTACCGAGGGCCTACTCTATAACCTTAGCCTCCCTATTGAACTCCACATGTAATGAGCAGATCCCTGTGCATGGAATTAGCTTGAAAAGGAGACTGAATAGATTTATGGAGGATAGGCCTATCAGTGGTGGTTTTCCATGGCAACTAAATATAAGCTCTGAGTTCAAGACAATTGCCAGCTAAATCCCAGGTGATACCAAAGGTTGTATGAAGGCCTTGCTTCCAGAAATACCTTGTGGTCATGTAGAAAATGGGAAGTTAGGTTAGCTGAACCTAGCAGGGATGCTGCTACCTCTTTGTGCCCAGCTGTCCCATGCAGGTGTGGTTATATCAGCTGTCTTTAACCCTTATGCATTAGGTTTTTTTTTTAAAAAACAACAACAACACCTCAACAATTTGAACTGTGTGAGTTATAGGATGTTTTCTGACAGTATTTCTGTTTGTCCCCAATGGAAGAAATTTCATTTCCCCTTAAATGGGGTTGACAACAAGAGTATATCACTTCTGCTTTTCTCTATTGTGGTTTCCTCCCAAATAGTATGAGACATTTTTGTCCCAATGTGTTATTGGCAGGGGCAAAACATTCCAGTAGGGATAGAAATCAGTAGATCAGTAAAACCTGTTGTGTGTTTGTGGGAGAGATGATATGTGGCAATGGTTGAGATCTGGGAACATTGTTCTTAACTGTGCAAGTAACAATTTTGTGGAAGACCTACTGTATAGGTCTATCCCTCTGTGGATTTTGCAACACAGCATGACTCTAGGTAGGGCTGCCATATTGAAAACCATCCCTACAGCTTTAATGATTGGATAGAAGGAGGAATTAAACAGGTGTGGATTGTCACACAACCAGGTAACAAGCAACACCTACTAAAAGTCCATAGTCATGGCTGCAAGAATAATTACAGCAAGAAAATGGAAGATGGGAGATCCTTGAATGCAGAAAATTCATGAAATGACAGTAATGGAGAGTAACATAAACCAATGCAAAATATTGAAAAAGATTGGCAATCAATCTTGGTTTATTGGAAGGA